TCAGGTCCATGTGACCACAGGAATAAGAGGCAATTCCTAAACTGTGTGTCAGAGCAATGACACTGGGAAAGGTAAATGGCTCTGTTAACTGAGATGTGGCTTCAGAGCAGTATATAGCATGAAACTGTAATTAGAATCCTCAGTACTTAGGGGACAAAGCTATAACGTGCAATTTTAACCTAGGGTTATTGACAAATGTTTTTTGTAAGTAATTAACAGCACCATCAAGGAACACCTTCTGTGTATGGATATAAGGGCTTTATTCCCTAAGGGACTTCTTCTCAAGTGACACCAATTTCAGAGGCTGCTCTACTGTCAAGTTTCCTCATTTTGTTCTAGGAAGGATTCCCAGTATGTTATAGAGGAGGCAATGCTGCAAGAAATGCAAAGGGTAAGCTGCCCTGGGAAGCCTTTGCTAGATGTATAGTCTTCAGCTCTCAAAATACAACTCCCTTGCATCTGTGACCTGACAACAGAACTACTTCTGCAATCAAACCACCCTTCCTTATAGTTCCGGGTAAAGACAAAAGTTTATCTACAAGTACCAGCTGCATGTGAGAAATTATCTCATCAGTGTTGTGATGGGGATCCTGACAATCCCTTTCTCAAAACACAATTAAAACACAGTAGTGGGAATACTGCCCGTATGTCCAGGACAGACTGTTTTGTAACTTCGAGGCAGTAAATTTGCCTTTTGAGGAGGTCCTCCAGTAAGTACAAAAATCTCACTCTGGAGGAAAAGATCAGACTACTTTAGCTGAAGGTTTAGGTCCTCTGAAACCAAAGTCTAGCACTCCTGAAGGACTCTGTGGCCCTTCAGGGTACACAGTAAAAAGTCTTATTACACAGTCCCCCACACCTCAGGAAACAAAACGTGAAGGGTTACAGAACGAAGAATGAATATGAGTTGCAGAAGTAACTGGGTGAATTTATATATATTCTCATATGAAAAACCAGTTTGTGCTCAGGCCCATTTTCAGGTACAATCACCATACCAGTTATCACATGAGATATCACAATAATCAGTAATAAATCTCAGCCATGGCAGGCTCCATTTGTCACAAATTAAATGCTTCCTACCATTACTTATTCAATAGGACATATATTTTTAGCACGTGATATTTTGTTACTATTTTATTTTGCATATACTTCACCCCTGTGCATGTAGAAATGAGCAGGTGTGAAGGGAGCAGCAAAAAAAAAAAAAAAAGTAGTTGGAGAAAAGGGAAATGAATCACAAGTCAGGTTGTATATTAAAACTAGCTCCATCTAACACATCAGCTACAGGTCTGTGGAGGAAAAAAATCTTTATGACAAAGCAGAGTATGCTAATTAGTTAATTATAGATGACAGACCAGCACCAGGAGATGACTACAGGAATATCTTAACTGAGGAGCACTCGATGACCTTCAGTGGATCCAGCTTCATGACATCTCACTAATTATATCCCTCCCACAAACTGTTAGACTCACAACTAGGATCTTAGTAAGTCTATTCATGTTTCCTAATTTGGTGAAGAGCAAAACCAGAGATATTTAACAGGAGTTACTCTAAAGTGCAAATCATTTAGGAATGGGTTTGTAAATAATGAACCAACCTACTGCTTTGCAGGTTTCTCATTTTTGCTGCTGGTTTTGCACTCTGTTAAACTGAGCAAGAATGCATGGATCAAAATTTAAAAAAAAAATAATCCTCTTGACTTGTAATTTACTGAAACTATCCCATGATATATGACAATACTAGGAGGTAAAGTTGGAAATAACTGATATCATTGTAAAAACTTTGGCATTTCTGAATGTTAATGTATACTTTTAATATTTTTTATGGTATCATATTATAGGATAACAGAATAATGGAAATGATCCAGAGTATTTGTTCTTACCATTTCAATTATGTACTTCCTACAGAGTACCACAAGAAATATAAAAATAATATCAAGGGGAAATCCATCAATAGTGAATATCAGAGAAGATTGTAGTACTCATGTGAGAGAGACCTCATTTCCAAACTGTGAAAACCAAAGAATACCCTCATTGATCAGTATACACTCTGTACAGACATATTCTACTGTTTACTATTTAGACAGCATCACATTCAAAGCATAATCTGTAACCCTTTCTTAGAGATGGTGCAAAGCATTAGGCAGATGTGAGTGTGGATTTCTTGCAAATAAAGGTAACCTTCACTGGATTGACATGGTCAGTCATAAAACAACCCACTGACTACGTCACATTTTATGCAAGTCTGCAGGTCATGACTAAACACCCGAACTGATGAATGTTCTCTTATAGGGGGCAATCCTTAGATTTAGTATCATTCAAGGCTGCTAGATGTGGCCCATGATTGATTTATATCTCAGTTTTATATAGAACTCATGCACCTGCTTAGTTCTGCACAGCACCCAAACCCAAACTTCCAGGCTCCAGTGAGTACTGTGTCTGCAACTCCTCTAGAAACTGTTTTCACATATGATCTGTGACTGCACTACCCAAGATCTAGAAATCTGTATCACTGTCAGAACCTGATAAACAGTACATCAAAAGAAGGACAGATACAGAAATTACTTCATAATAACCTCACTGCTTTCAAGATACCCTTTACTTTGCTGACCTTTCTGGAGAAATCTTCTCCTTAGAGTGAACTTCTGTGCATGCTCCAAAAGTTTGTCAGATTCTCAGTAAGCTAATTACTAAAAAACTGTTTTAAGTGTTGAAAATAGCAATCATCTGAGAATAAACATGGGGTTAAATTTATGCCCAAATATCTGTTATGGAAAAAACCTCTTTAAAGTCTCACACTAAAAATTCATATTTCTCTGGGCAGTGCTTCAGTGTAGTGATTACAATGTTATATTTTACAAAATATTAATTTTTCCTTTCCCAAGTTTTCTGAAGAGAAAGACTCCATTGTTTCTTTAAAATAACAGGAACATTATGACACAGCAAGGTAAAAGCAAGAAACAGCTAAGCACTCTTGTTTCCAAATGGCGTATTTATGCTGTACATAAAATATAAGTTAATGATGCACTGTGCATTCAAGCAATTCACTGAGACTATATGCCATTTATTTTAAGATTCCTGATCCTTAGCACTTCTGCCTTCCCAGAACCCTTTTGCACCGCTTTCTGTTTTTCTCTGTTCTTATTTATGTTTCTGTGCAGCAAATTACAGATGATGTTCTTCTACTCAGCTTAGCTCCTCTGCCCCTCTTCACAACAGAAAGGATTTTTCAGTCAATATGCAAAACTGGCAATTCAGGTGACTACTATCTGATGCAACTCTCTTTTTCTTATTGTAGCCAGGGTGGGGTTTTTTTAGTATTGAAACTTTTCTGTACGTCTGAGTATTCATTGTATTCAAGGAAAATCAGAGGATAATTTCATGGACAGAAATTATTAATTTCCATCAGGCTCAGAATGTAGAACAGAGGCTTATGGGCCTTGTTTGAAATCAAATGGAAATTATTCTGAAATCAGTGTTGAAGTGCTGAATATTTCCTTTTAAATAAAATAATCACAGAATCATAGAACGGTTTGAGTCGGACAAGACCTCCGAAGATCATCTAGTCCAACCCTCCTGCAATGAGCAGGGTTGTCTTCCACTAGACCAAGTTGCTCAGAGCCTTGTCCAGCCTGACCTTTAATGTTTCCAGGGATGGTGCATCTGCCACCTCTCCAGTCAACCTGGTCCAGTGTTCCACCACCCTTATTGTAAAAAACTTCCTTACATCTAGTCTGAATCTAATCTTAAGTTTAAAATCATTACCCCGTGTCCTAACATAACAGGACCTATTAAAAACTCTGTCCCTATCCTTTTTAAAAGCCCACTTTCATACTGAAAGGCCACAGTGAGGTCTCCCCTGAGCCTTCTCTTCTCCAGGCCAAAAACCCCCAACTCTCTCATCCTGTTTTCATTGGAGAGATACTCATCCCTCTGATTGACTTCGCAGCCCTCCTCTGGACTCAGTTCAACAAGTCTGTCCCCTTCCTATGTCAGAGGCCCCAGAGCTGCATGCAGCACTCTGGGTGGAGTACTGACCCACGTACGGGACCTTGCACTTGACCTTTTTGAACTTTATGAGGTGTCATGGGCCCACTTCTTGAGCTTGACCAAGCCCCCCTCCATGCCATCCTATCCTTCAGGTGTGTCAACTGCACTGCTCTGCTTGGTGTCATTTGCAAATTTGCTGAGGGTGCACTTTATCCCACTGTCTGTGCCCATTGATGAAGATATTAAAGGATCCTGGTCCCAATACTTAGCACCTGAGAGAGGCTGCTCATCACTGATCTTCCTCCAGACACTGAGTAAAATAAGTATGAGCTGTGGTTCTAGTTGTAGATCAGTGGCTCAATCCCTAGGTGTCTGGTGCTGTCTGCAGTGCCTGAGGGTCGTTACCTAGTGTTCATCTGCTACTTCAGAGGAGCACAGATCTCCCCAAGGTCCAACTTCATATTTCCAAGCCTGATACACCTATATAGCAACTACTCAGGCACCACAAATAGTGGTCTGTTTGTGTGATCAAATACATGGAGCCATTAGCATATCAATTTTGAATAATATAAATAAATGAATATCAAATAACTAATATTACAAAGGAGCTTAAAAATGCTGACCTACTTGTCCATCACTGCAATAAATTTATTTGCATTGTAAAAGATCTATTGGTAGTTGGACTGTACAAATACAAGTCATATATTTTGCAAAACTGGAACTTGTGCTTGTGAAGCAAGATGTTATTTTTAAGCTGTCTTCAATATTCCTAATATGCTGAATAAACTATTTGTTAGGTTAGTCCATGAGGGCCATATATCACTGTATATAGTCTTCAACATGATCTATGTTTGAAATAACAGAGAATAACAGATTATGGCTTCTTATATTTTGTCTTTGAAATACAAGGTGTGACTCCAGGTCCCCTGAAGTAATTGGAAAGCCACCTTTTTACATAAGAGGATCAGCCTGTTTCTCCTAGAGCCAGGCACAGAACCGTCTTTTACTCACCTGCTTGTTCCAGCTACTGTTCAGCTTTGGGGACATATCTCAGCTCACTCTTTATGTTCTGAATCTCTGACAAGTTGACAGCAGGACCTGGAAGTTTCTTAGCTCCTGGGAGATGTTTCTTGCCTGTCTCCTCCTCTGTCGAAGCAGGAACACTCTGCACAAAAGGACACCAGTGAATTCACTGCTGCAGTAGCAATCTCTTGAGCATGAGCATAGGTCAGTTGTTTGAGAAACAGGAAAGGATATTTTTATACTAAAGGCAATCTCAGTGGAAAATGGAGAGGAGAAGGGGTGGGAATGGGGAGGAAGAGATAAGTTATTTAGTTGGTTGTTGTCTAAAATCATTCTAAAAAGAACAGAAGGTGCTCAGTGTAGAGGAACATGGATTTTTTGGTAGATGGTTAAGAATTTACAGTGTCAGACTATTAGTGGAAAATAACTGAGTGGAGCATTAAAGGCAATTCCAAACCCTTCACATTTTAGAGGGTAAAAAACCCAGAAAAAACATTTTTATTATCTAATTTCTTTGTGAGTTTCATTGTGTCCAGACAGTTGGAAAGGAAAACCATCATGCACTTCTGCAGCTCTGTAAAAGAGCTAAGATAGTAGGTTACGGACATCAAAAGCTCCATGCAAGCTCAGCATGAGTTGAAGTTTAATTTTTCTTAACCTCAGTTGCAAGACCAGGGGGGCTTTTGTCATTTTGTGTTTGAATTAGGGTAGTGCCTCATGGCTATTTTGCTGACAACTGTAAAACTAAAGGTTAAATAACAGCACTTTCAAAATAGTGAGCAACTCAGCTAATTTCCTGATGAACCACAGTATTTTAGCCCTCAGTACTTCCTCAGCTGTACTATTGCTTCTAGGTGAGTAAAGCATGTATTTTAGACAATTTCTATTCTAGACAGAAAAAAGTTTTGAAGTAGTAGCTTTCCAGTAGGAAGTTAAGGTTTTTACAGCCTGTTGCATATTTTATAAAACTGGCATAAGGGAAGAATCATGTAGACTTAAAAATTAATTTATTTTTCTGCAAATGATTTCATGACGAAATTTTTTTTTTTCATTTTTGATTACTCTATGAATGTCCTATTGAGATTGGCTTTTTGGAGTTAAATCACTATTTAGACTTATTAGCTACTCTTTTTGAAAATGTATATTGACTGTGAGCAGTCAATTCTTAGTATTTAATTTAATTTTTAAAATTCCAAAGTTATCTGTCATATGCTATTGGCCTCTTTTTTTCTATTGACTAATAGACTACAGGCTAATTAGGAAGAAGACTTTTTGCAATGTCAAAGAGCAAATAAACCAGGTATTCTAGAAAACTGACATTTTCTTCCTATCTGATCTTCAAGAACTTTCTTAACATCACTATATATAGAAGAAAACTGAAGCAACATTGCTTGGCTTGGAAATCTTGTATTATCTTGTCTCACATTTTAGACAATACACTATTAGATAATACTAAGTAATAACATTATGGTTGTTTCTCGTTCATTTCAAATCCCAGCCAGTAATTCAGCCCCAGCTAGGACATGTACTGTCTGATATCTAGCTTAATGATCTAACATCCTGAAACAGTAGGAAAGTACAGCAGGAGAATGAGGAAATTGATACAGAACCTGTTTGGAAGGATACAGAAAATTGTAGAAGTAGTCAAAGGTGCCAAGAACTTGGATTGTTTCCTTTCCCAGTTTTCTTGCACAACTAGCTAATCTGAATAATCACAGCATACTACCATTCCCTCAACCCTTAGTTCTTATTACAAATGGCAGATACTCTGTTAAAAATACCATTTCAAGTCATGTGCAACACCCTTCCTCCTGTAGAAGAAATGGCGCAAGCTTTGACCATGTTTTGGAGACTTTGCTCTCCGTCAGCTTTCTCCTCTAACCTCAGGTGCGAGCTACCTGTGACTGCACCCTCCCTGTAATCACCCACTCCATGTGCAATGCAGAGCTGAAATTAGAATTTGGCCTCCAGTTTGATGAAAGGAATTCTGAAGAGTGACTCAACATACACAAGAGTTAAGGAGTACAAGCATGGAAATGCTCTGACTGAAGAAGGCATTTTCTGAAATTTCCACCCTCCATTTCTTTCCATGTTAAACATGCCCACTCCATCGACCTTCAAAATACACATTCCCATCTGACTCCACCATCCCTTTGAGAAAGATCCATATTCCCCTCATCTCCTTTGCCAAGCCTTTAAAAATAGTGAAAAATACAATGCACTGTTAGCAAAAGTCTTATTTGTCTAAAACTGCTTTGAAAAATCAGGAGCTGTATCACAAAACTTAAAGAGATGAGAAAACTGGAAAGACAAGTCCACTAGTAGCATTTTTATTCTATTCCCATTACAAGATCTGTTTCTGTAGTCTTTACTACCATTGGTTTGGTTGAATATTGCCCATAAAACCTATGCCAAGAACTTTCATTCCATAATTTCTGTCTTATATATAGTATTCATGTACTTGAGAAGCAAAGCAACATTCAATTACCCAACCAAATCTAATTATCAGCACCAGTTATTTATTTTATTTCCCAAACACCACCAGAATTCACCCATGGTATATCAGTTTCTGCTTAATAACATGCACTCCTTCACCGGCTTAATTACTTCAGAGAGAATATGCTTTCATTTCTTTCCAGTGGAGAAAGCCACAACACATGTTCAAGGTCATTTTGTATGTTTATTTCTTTTAAATCTTCCTAAGAGCTAAGTCAGCTTGGGTTTGATTACTTCAGGAAAGTTCTCTGTAAACAGAGGACTACTTATATCAAAACACAGAGAAATCCAGAAAAAAACCTAATCTGTCTGTTTGAGACAAAAAAGGAAGAATTAGCTCTTACACGACTAAACTTGACCATTTGAAGTGCCTGCTCCAAGCTGACGATTGGTTCAAAACTAATCTGGCTGCTTCTTGACTGGGGCTGAATCATCAGCAGTGCCACAGCACACCTGGGGAGCAGTGGCTTTTGCCTCCCCCCATTACCTTTTTTTCCACTATTGGTTTTAGTTCTCATTTATAATAAAAGCTAATGGTAAATAAGATGCTTTAATAGCATCCAGAAATATGATATCTGTGTTTAATCATGACCTTTGTGATCAATGTTAGTTAATGTATAAATTGGATTTTATATTCAAAACTCAGTGTTAAATACTCCCTGTAAAATATAAGCATGAAAACACAGAATTCAGCCTAAAATGGAGTATTTTCACCACTAGGCAGATAAATGGGTTCTCAATTTCTGTTTTAACTTGCAAGTGTCTTCACATTCAATTCTTCCTTGTTGATAAACATTTCAAAGAGTGTCACGTTTGAGAACTTAGTAATAGCTAAGTTGTAACAATCAATCACACTACGGGGCAGCAGGTAGTAGCATATCCTTCTAAAGCCTTGCTATAACTTTTCCTGCTGTATCCCATCAACTCCCATCCAGACAAATACCTCTAGTGAAATCCTGGCTCTCTTTCCTGACAGCAGATGTCATCCTGCTGTTGAAACACAACCACACACCTTTGAAACAGTTTAAAACCCTATAGGTGCCTTGGCACCAAAAGCAGAACTATTCTATATGAAGTGTTTAGCAAGTGGCCATTTATTTCCATGAATGATCAGTCCATGTTCAGCTGTGGTACCTAAAATTGGTATGCAGAGCTACAAGACTGATTAAAAGGCTTTCTTTCATTTTATGGTAGGGATTCTCCTGGGGAAAAAAAAAAAAACAAGCAAAAAAAAAAAAAAAAAAAGTCAAAAAACCTTTTTTACATACTTCATCCACTTCTTCAGGTGTAAGTTCTTTTCTTTTATGAGGGTGGCCTGCACCAGGTCGAAATGCACCCATTGGGATGTTAATATTAGCCTGTGAAAAGGAAATAGAGATACATACAATGGTGACTGATAAATAAATATACAGCTGGTAAATGGCAAAACTCAAAAGGATTGGGACAAGTGTATAGACATTTTTGTGGTTTCTGAGCTCTTATGTCCTCAATGTATGCATCATCACACCACTCCTGTGGGAAAGAGAAGTGCTTTCATCTCCATTTTAAAGGCAAAAAATGAAAAAACAAAGCTACCTAGAAAGCTTTTGAAATTCTGCATTTTAGACTAATGTTTCCTGACTTCATTGGACTTCAAATGAGTACTAGACACCAAAGTGTCTTTAGGCACATGGGTCTGCTTCGACTTGGTCAAGGACAAAAAGAAAGTGAGTGCCAAAAGCAGCATTTAAGTGCATATCACCCCAATCCTATAGTACCACCCAAATCACTGGACCATTCTCCCTTCCCCAGAGACATCAGTTTTCACCACAATTAATCACAGGTAGTTGGGAAGGAAAGCCTGCCATGAGTCAGCTTATGCTCTGAGTCTTTAAAATGTGATTTTACCAACAAAATTTACCGACAGTGCTACAAGCTGCAAATGGTTGAACCAGCTCCAACACCGGGCAGACCGCTAGTCCCTGGCTTTAGCAAACTCCTTCCAGCATGATGCCCACACAACTGCACGAACCTGATCTTTTATCTGGGGCAGAAAGCCAGTAGCCATAATATAATTGGTGCTGAAAACAGATACCTTAAAAGTAAAGATTATTGAGAAAAGAATGGCACAAAACACTGCTTAGAAAAGAACAGCTGAAATGTATCCATTTCCCGGTGTGACCCAGTCGGGATTATTTTAAAAGTCAAATGGCATGATCAACTACATGCACAAGTTATACCTACTCTTATCTCGTGATCTCAGAAGGGAAGATGCTCCTAGGAAATGTCATCAAAATATCACAACTCCCACTGGTAAAGCCAGGGGTGAATCGGTAATGTTACAGAGCGGAAATGGAAAACCTTCTAAGAGTGAGCCGTGTTCTTGTAGTTCACCATCTGACTGATTTGCACTAAATGAAGATAAATAATCCCATCCTTCTGCCCAAACTATGGTCCTGCAGATTTTAGCCCCAGTTGGTCAACCCCAGGAAAGCAGCCCACTCTTTCCAGTAACAACAACTGTTCTGGCAGTTGTAACCAAATACCAAGCAAACTAAGAATCCATTTGCCAAGAAATAAGCACCTTTCCCTCTATTCTACTTACCTGTTTCCCATTACCTAATTTATGCAAGGTGATGCTATCATTTGAGTGGGGCTGCCAAATCTGCAGGGTCATGTAGTTTTATAGACAACTGGGTATTTGTTTCATAAAGCTTTTTCAGTGAGCATTAGTTTAGATATTGTGAAACCTTTCACCTGCACTTTGTAAGTTCCCATGAGACAGGGAATTTTCATCCTCACAGTTCTTAACCTATTATTTCATTTACAGGCGGGAAAAAAAAAGCTTTGCTATTTTTAATTTCAAGCATCTCCTCTGCCAAGCTCTGGTACCTCCAGGCAGATTCTTTTTTTGGAATGTGAAACTTCTCTGCACTTTACAGCTCGCATGGTCATACAAGTTTGCAGAGTTGAAACTTTAAGAGCTATGTCTCCTTTTGGTGCTCATCCTTAACTTGGACATTCCTTACCCCTAGAGTCAATCAAAGCAGGAGCCAGACTCCCACAGCACACCACAGCCCTTGCATTTCCTACTGTGATTGACAGACCAACTGTGACTAAAAATGGTTCAGGAAACAAAAATGAACTCCTAAATCCCAGGCTGCTAATTAAATTAAATAAGCCAGTCTTTGGTCTGCTTCAGCACTTTCACAGTAATCTGTGTCACACAAAAGCAGTTTGTACTATTTTATCTGCAATAAGGGCGCTCAAATCAGAGTTTGGGCAAGATGTATGCAGTCATGACATATTAACTTGGTAAAATGAGCATCCTTTAAGACATAATCAAACGCTGTCTGCATCTGATAACACATACTATAAATTAAAATGTTTCTAGTATGAAATGAAAGCATGACTTATGTACAAGCCCTTCCTGACCAGAGGTACCAAGGTCCTGAGCTGTAAATTTCCCTGTTAATGCAATGCTGGTCCTGTCCCACAGCTGTGTAATGGGTGGGTCAAATTCTGTACACCAGTGTAGCTCTGCAAGGACTGTGCTCTGCTGCAATCAGCACATGTTTTCAGTTTTGTTTTTAAAATACATTTCAAGGCTTTTGTCACCTGTCACCTGGGATGGAGATACGAACCTCAGGAATCTCTTTGCCTGCTTCTCATCCAGCAAAATGCTAAACAGGAAATTTTCTGTTCCAAACCCCTGAAATCCTCAATTAGAATTGCTTTAGACAGACTTTCTAGGTGTGATTCTTATTTTTAACCATACTAATTAGGAAAACTATTGGTTTTGCCTCTTCCTTTGTTTTTGGAAAGTGCCTACCATATTTTGGATGTCACTGCAGTTTTCATAATGAGTAGGTATGTGTACTTACATCCTCTAGGGAGGTCTTTCTGAACAGGCCAAAGGAAAAATATCTGTAAGCATGACATACAACATATATTGCTCCTTCGAATTAACTGAACTGATATTTGGAGATTTTTTTGTGTGTTCTTCTTTCTGTTTAAGACAGACAGATTATGATACAACTCATGCAGCCACTCATCAGTTGAGGATTGTTTTGGATAAGTTCTTCACAGCACCACAGCCATTCCTAGCTGTCCAGATGGATGACTAAATAAGCTGGAAAGACACTTCAGTATAAATACTTTTAATTAAAAAATAAGAAAGAAAGATAAGAACTGCAGAGAAAATTGAATGGAATTCTGGGGAAAAAAAAAAAAAAAAAACACAAAACCACTTGCTGTGGTCTGATTTGGCCTCTGCCTCTCTGGGCAGTCTCTTGCCCACATTCTCCACCAAAAATGTCGTGGGTTTGCTCTGGGCTAATTTTCTCTCACCCCCCATTCAGATCTCTTGTCTGCATAAACCTTCTCTCAACTTATAGTAATTGTGTGGGGGTGAGAGAAAATTGGCCCAGAGCAAACCCACAACACCACCAGAAAAAACAGGAACCCCCTCAGCCTTACCTCTGGGGAAAGCAAAGAGTGGTAATTGAAGATAGAATAATTTTCAGCCAGAGCTGTATACAGCCTTTTACACACTGAGAGGGCGAACCAGCAATACATGTTATCAGGAATTAATAGTACTTGGATCCATTATTGCCCCAAACTTGGGAACAGTTGCTACCTTTAACTCTCACACATCTGTATTTAGTGACTTTTGGCAAGTGATGATTTTTGTGTACATCTCGCACAGTGAGACAGAAGCCAGCATCATGAAATACTTCAGTTAGTAAGGTGCCACTACATTTCCATCACTGCAGCATGATGTATATTCTCCAGAGCATGTCAGTCCTATTATAACAGAACACGATAGCAAAGGATCATAATATATGAATCACAATGTATAAAAGTAATGTGACATTTTGAGTCATGGCTCTTAGAGTGCTCAAAATGTAAAAGGCATTGATTCAAGTGCAAGTCTTCCTACTGGAGCCACCTTTGACACAATGTTTAATAGATATATTTTAAAGTTGGTGCTGTAGTTTTCCTCATGATTTAAATTTCCTCTGCCAAAATTAAAGTTTCTTAAAATATGAAACTTAGTATTTATACTTAACGCACTTTTTAAATTAACAAGCTAGAAGCATTGTTTCCAAGTCATCATAAAAATAAAAGGCAGTCTACCACTACTTCTTTAAGAAAAAAAGCAAACCAAATTCAATCCTTAAAAATGTTTGTATGTGCCTATGGACTTGAAGCGTAAAATGTAAACACTTGTAAGCTAAAAAATATCTGCATTTTTTCATTAATCATACAAACATTTCTATAGTCAGGGTAAAAGAGGGAGGAAAATTTGAACTGAGTGAAATCAAAATTCTGACGAAATGGCAAAATTCTGCTAACTTCAGCTGAATTAGAGTACAGTAATTTGCATGCCTGTTTCAGTAGAGCTGCTGATGATAAAGAGAATCTGCGTTTTTACAGTATCTTACAACTTCAGCATGCAGCTTAGCCACTGGATAATTAATCTTGATACTCCAATCCATTGAATTAATATTATCTCAAGGCAAAAAAAGACAGATCAGACTTTAGAAATTCCATTTTATGCTTCTTATGTAAGGGAACCTGAACTCCTAAAATTTCATTGGAAATGCATTTTACAAAATACATGAAAATTCTGTAAGATTCTTCAGTTCAGGAAATATTTTGGCCTTGTGATAAGAATCATTGACAGCTTGAGCTAAATACATTTTTCATGATGCTACTTTGTGATGATGGGATAGTTCTCCAGCTGTTTCTTTTACAAGTATGGAACAACCAACTCCATCCTTATAAGCATTTACCATTTTAGGAGGCATGTGGTAGACAAGAATCTTTTAAATTAAAAGATAAGCTTTTCTCTCATTTTACTCTAGTTTTTAAATAAAATGCTTCTCAAACAAATATTGGAAGTTGTGGGATTTTTTTCCTAAAGGAATGCAGACCTGAAAACCTGCACAGCACCTCTGCCATCTTTTTAGCCTATAATTCTTCCAGCATTGTATTAACTTTGTGGAAAATCTAACAGCTGCAAGAATTATTTTTGCTTATAATGCTGATCAATTACGCACATGTATCACCTGTGTTTTGCTTAGCTGACCCCCAACAGGCAAAGCCTAACACTGGAAAGACTGTGCAAACAAGTGATCAACAAACCTACCTGATTCAGGTTTTTATGAGCTCAGATCAAAAGATGCTCTTCAGGTCACACTTTTCCACTGGTTTCATACCTACTAAGTTTTTCACCTTAACTGAATAATCCCCTGTTAGCAGACCTATGGTGCTTTGTCTGAGTAAAAATGCAGTTTGCCAAGCAATGGAGGTTGAGATTTATTATTTTATTATATTAGAAACATAAATACTGTCTCTTACCTGAATGGCTTTGACATGTGACGCTGGCTGTTTTGACATTTTTAAGACAGAGGCTTATCCCTGCAAGCAAAATGGGAAAGTGTTACAGGCTCTGACATTCTGATAGCTAAGGGAGATAAGCTAGAACTTAACCCATGCCGCCTCTTGACAGGCATCCATTTCATCTGCCCAGCTCCTGTTTCCATCTCAGTTTCCAAGTTGCTTAGTTATTCCTTCTGAATATCAGAAAGAGACAGAACACCCGAGCTTCTCCAATTAATCTTTCATAGCCACAAATGAAGCTATCTCTTTCACATTAAAAACAATAATGAGTAGAGATAAGGACTCTCTCAAACCTTAACAGCGTTGTAAAATGAGTAAGAATTACGGGAAGCATTTGAGGATAAACAATGTATGATCATCTCTGTCACAGTATGTATGTGGGAATTACTAAAAGTTTCAGTTTAAGTCTTCTTTCAAATAAGGCATAAATTGTTAGAAAACATTTTTAAATGCAGACATAACCATTTCCGGACTCTCAAATCCTTTAATGCCTGTAGACTGAAAATTATCAAGATGGTCAAATTGAGAAGTTTTCTTTGACAACTGCTAGTGCACAAAGAAGCCTCTCTTCAAAGTTTTAGATCCTACAGATTCACAAATTTTCTTTAGCAAAAAGATAAAAAATAACATATTTTTCAATACAGTTTTACGCAGGTGGAGAAATATGGGCTGCTACAATATCACTACACAATAACAAAAGGAAATACACTGAAGTAAAAAGCAATAACTTTTATCAGCAAATTATTTGAAACATTATCTCATCCTTTTATTCTTTCACTGAGAACTAAGATTTTAACTAGACTAGACCATCATCAAAGTCTGGTTATTTAAGCATTATAATAGTAAGTAAGATAGTAATACTAAAAGCTAAAAAATTAATTCATCAGAAAACTCATTTGATCAGAAGCAAATTACATCATATTTTTCATACTATATTTAACCTGAGATAGGAAGGAAGTAATGAGAATAGTGATAAATGACGTAGAAGAGATAGTAGAAATATACTGAGAAATTAAAAGTGTCAAAGACTTGGCTACTCCAAAGAGTATAAATGTCATGTGAGGTAGTAGCAAAAAAAAAGTATACATAGGTTGGCTTCAACTTGAAATATCAACCTTATATTGTATCTCTGGGGCTGCATGGAAGACTTGCTCTTGCATGTTCTCACATCAGCTTTAAATCTGTGTATGATGCGGAACAGAATTAAATATAAAAATGACCTGCCATTAGAGGTCTCCCTCTGGTCACACTCTCAGGTGCAAAGAGTGCCATCCAAGCCAACACAGTGTTCAGTCAGAGGGTGTCATCTTTGGCTTTGGGTTGAAATTGCCTCCACTGAAATAATAAATCAGACAAAATCCTACTGTGCAAAATAAAACCAGCATTGTTTATATTTTAGTCACTCTTCCAGTGAGTTTTAGATTGTGGTTTTGCATACTCAATCTTAAAATCAGAGGCAGTTTTAAAAACTTCAGAATTCACTTTATGGATGCAATCTTGGCCACTACAGTTCATGACAAAATTCAAGCAGACTTCAAAAATGCAAAAGAATTTACTACACTCTCTCTCCTTCCTTTTTAAAAATCTTTACTATGCATAGAAATAACTGTTCTGTTAACCAATTACTGTATTCCAAAACACACACTGAACAATTCCCCAGTTTATGAAGAAGATAGGACTCATAATCCAGAACGCTTAATTAATTTTTCTTATCATCCTCCCTCTTTCTAATCAAAATGGCAAATGGAAACAAAAGCACAGGAAAATGACATAAAACATATTTTAAACCAAAGTGGATCTACTTCCTAACCACTCTCACAGAGGAATTCAAGCTAAGATATATTTCTTCATCTTGAATGCTTGTGCATTGCGAAAAACATTGATACACAGCTCTTGGGCCATCTAGAGATCAACAGGAAGGATTTACACTGAATCTCAGCTTTAAAACAAGCACAGTGTCAGTGCTCCTCAGCGAGGTGCTCCGGGTTCACAAGCAGTCAGTGTTCAAAATTACTGCAATCAGACACCAGTTCCTAAAGAGGGATGCATGATACAATTGTGTAGGACTGCTTTTGGAGGAGGTGATTTTCCTACCAGATCCTGCTGTCCTCATTACCGCCAGAGAAATCAGGACAACAGCAAACTACTGAGTAAAAATAGATCAACTTCTCTGGCTCTTTCCCTTTCTCTGCCTTCCCTGAGTTTCCTTACAGAGTGATACTGACCATCGATCACAGGAGAATAAACCTTAGGTTTTTTAACAGATGCAGCTGTTACAGAAGTGATTATTTAATTTTTATAAATTCCTTTGTTCTTTTGCCACGCATCTCAGAGGGAGAGCCAAGAGTGCTGCACTGATTGTATTAAGTTATTCCTGGCATTCCGATCAGCTCTTCAAACTTGAAAAAAAATCCCACTTCACCCTCATTTCCACATATAAGCAGGATTACATGGGTTTCACATGAGGCAGAGAAGTGCAGACACACGCAGCCTGTATTCCCCGGTGCCTTTTTGGCCTCCCCACACCTTACCTTTTACCTTTTATGGGCTGCATGCTGAGCCAAACTTAGAAAGCAATGGCAACGTTAGTTCAGTCTGGAGCTGGTTTATGCTAGACTTCCCTTGCAAATTCCCTTGCTTCACAATGAAATTACTCGAGTAGAACTACTTGTGAAATACAGGACTACTACAGTGAAATAAATGAGTGTTTTGAAGCGAAACTTTGTAAAACAAAGGACCTATCTTCTGTCTCTCTGCTAAAAATAATTTCTGACAGGGCTGGAGCAAGATAATAAGCTGACTTGTTCAATTTGCTTTAAATACGATGAGATATCATAATGCCATCTTTTGTAACCCACACAAGAGATGTACAGTAGCATACAGACAGCAGAAAGAGCCCTCCCCCTGCCCCAGCTGGAAGCTGTCCTCTCCCCTCACCACACGCACGGCATCGAGTACTATGGGTATTTTGGACACAGAAGTGCAGTGTTTTATCTTATTAAAAGGCTTTGATGGGAACTACACTACTGTGAGACTCAGTGAGTACAATGAAAGAAGAGAAATCCCCACTTTGCAGCTTTCAGCCTGTTACACAAAAACTTACTACATGCTCTAAGCAAATGTGGTCACATTTTCTGTTACACATCCATAATAATCTCTGCTATAGTTACCTGTTAAGCTTACAGTGAAAGAAACTATTCCTACCATCCAAACTCCCACGTAATATTTCACTAACAAACACAGAGAAAACAATAACCATCTACCTGTGTAGCACAGTGTTCAATCTAATACACAGTTAAACTTCTTATGAGTCACTAAGTATTTAAGCGACTTTCTATTTTAAATCTTTAAAAGTCCCCACAGACTGAGAAGCAATAGCAATCTGCTCTGAATATGCTGATATGCTGCACGAGACATTAAAATAAGCAGAAACACACAACTATTGTAGTCAACTCAAAGCAGTTATAAAAGAGTTTTCATAAGGGTCTTCCAAGTTTTTAATTGACCCCTGCAATATTAACTTACTTATTTACTTATATAAGAAAAGTTCCAAACCGTCAAGTGAGTATGCACACCTCCTTTTGATGCTGAAAGAGGTATCTTCTTCTACCAGCTGAGGTATTGACTGTGACCCTTTTAATGTGTCTGAAATAGCTCCGATGCTTTCAGCCTGGACGGCACTGAGAGCTGCTCCAGGCTGGAGTGGGACTCAGCAGAGAAGCAAAGTGTAAAAGGGAATTCCTGTCATAGCTTCCAGTTGTTCTTCCTAAATATAGAGTTTGATTCACCCTGTAACTTGGTCCCCTGTGACACTTGACCATGGTAAAACCAGGGCTCAACTGTCAAGCAGGAGGTGTTGAAGTAACACACCTTTGGGTCCTTTTCCTGCCCTCCCTCTCCCTGTCATTCTGGGCTTTTCCCGAGTGCCCAGCATACAGTGGGAGTAGGTAACGCATAACTCCTCCCATGGCATTTGGGGCAGTGTGTGCCTCCCTGCTGCCACATCAGGGAAGGAAATAATTATGGGGACATAATTATGAAGAACTCAACTCAGAGGAACTGTCTAGGGGAGGTGAACGACACACGAGCGTGACTGTATTGCTGCCGCCTTGGGAACAAACTCACACAGCGGCTGCCCTGGGGTCTCGGCACAGCCTTCCTCCGTGCAGGACAGCCATGGAAGGCAGGAAGGCTTCATGGAAGGAGTGTGTGAGGCCACGGTGGCCAGCTGCTGAGCCTTTGGGCATGGGGGTGAAGAAAAGGTAAAGCAAGTGTGTGTGTTTGTGTGTGTGTGTGTGTGTGTGTGTGTGTGTGTGTGTGTGCGTGCGAGGCTACAGCTCATAAGGGAGGTGAAACATTATCTCAGTCATGCTCATGTGGCTGAAGTACTGTCTTCAGTGAAGGCTACTGATGGAGATCTGTCACAGCAAGCGGTGCGTGGGGCATATCCTTATGTTTCCACTTCCAGAAGTGCAGACTCCAGTTCATTGTGTCTTCACAAGAGTGAACTTCCCTCTCCATCACTCCTCCAATGTACCTGGGTGGCAAGAGCAGCGTAATTATGGGCAATACTGTATTGGCCACTTGCTGCTACTCCTTGCCATTTCTAGGAGATGATCCACAACTTTCAAAATTAGTGCCACAGACATTTATCATAGAATCACAGAATCATAGAATGATTTGTGTTGGAAGGGACCAACAACCTGGCCATGGACAGGGAACCTTCCACTATACCAGGTTAGTCAGAGCCCCATCTGGCCTGGTCTCGAACACCTCCAGGGATAGGTAGTCCACAGGCTCTCTTCTCCAGTGCCTTGCCACCCTCACAGCAAGAATTTCTGCCTAATATCTAATCTTTCAGTTTAAAGCCATTCTCCCTGTCCCATTACTACATGCCCTTGTGAAAAGTCCCCCTCCAGCTTTCTTGTAGCCCCCTTTAGGTGGAAAGATGTTATGTCTCTGGAGACTTCTCTCCTCCAGGCTGAGCAACCCCAACTTTCGCAGTTGTCTTCACTGGAGATGTGATCCAGCCCTGGATCAACTTAGTGGCTCTCCTCTAGACTCGTTCCAACAGGTCCACATCTGTCTTGTGCTGGGGACCCCAGAGTTAAACTCGGTTCTCTAGGTAGGGTCTCACAAGACTGGAGTAGAGAGAGAGAATCACCCCCGCCTCGATCTACTAGTCACAACTCTTTTGATGCAGCCCAGGATGCAGTTTCCTTCTGGGCTGCAAATGCACATTGCCACATCATATTGAGCATTTTGTTCACAAGCACCCCCAAGTCCTTCTCCTCTGTTCTGCTCTCAATTTATTTTCTACCCAGCCTGTACTTGTGCTTGGGGTTGTCCTGAACCAGACATTCGACCTTGTTGAACTTCAGTAGGTTTGTACAGGCTTATCTTTTGGGCCTGTCAAGGTCCCTCTGGATGGCTAGTACTCATAACAACTAGTGGTTGGGATAGTGATTTCAGAGAGGATCTCCCTTGACTTTAACTCATTTGACCAAAGAGTCTTTTAATTTCAAGTATCTCAAAGAGGAATTTGACCAATCAGACTGCTCCATTAAGTCTTTAACTCACTCTCTGATGCCTTCTTTTCCAAAAATATTGTCATTATATTGTCACCAATAAAGCTGATGAATTGTAATATGGTCTTGTACACAAATTTATTTCGATTTATATTACAACAATTATATTACAAACTACCTCTGGAATACACAGTTCTTTCTTCCACATGCCATTAATTTAGCAAAGGTAGACCACTGTTTAGATTTGAAAATAATTTTGCAAATATGCCTGAGAAATACCAGCTCAACACTGTTTGCTTCAATAAAGTTTCATAGCGGTGACAAGTAATTTAACAAATGGTCTTAGTGACGTGTACACAGGAAGAGAATCTACCTCTGTCACATATCTAACACACATAAACTATCACACCTGAACTGTATTAAATTGTGGGGAGAAAAGGAGAGAACTCAATTTTTATCAATAATAATAGAAAATGTAGATCTGAGTAGATTTTGAAGGGGAAAAAAGCCACTCAGCATTATTTTGCAGCATATCATTACCTTTGAATAACCTCTGGGATGCACAGCCCCATGACTTGCAGATTCATCTGCTAATACATGCAGCAGATGCTTTAGTAAGTAAATAGTGAGGCATATGTGCATTTCAGAGGATGGATTCATCTGGCAAGTTAGAGTCATATACACTGATACACACAGCATAGAATTATTATGTCCTGTGTACAGAAATCCAAAAGACATAGTAACAATATATTTATTTGGATTATGATATTCCAATATAGTTAAAAACAGACTTCTGTTTCATTCCTAGAAGCTTATCTAATTAACACACTTCCTGGAACAGCTTATTGGTTTTGAAAGTGAAGTTGATGGTTAACAGAAATGTGTACGTATATTACATCTCGACAGAGATATTTCACTGCATAATGTCAGAATTGTTTTTCTAAAGCTGTCACTACCTAATATGCTTACTTAAATGTTTTGCTCTTGGAGAAGCCTCATGAGTGCAGAAAAAACTTCCCTGAGGATCCCAAAAGAAAAATATTTATTATAGTCCAAAAATGTTTTTGTGTCATGCAAACAACTGAAAATGCAAGTTAACATAGGAGCAGTCACAACCTTAGCTCACTTGAAATCAGACTTCTTTGAAGTAAAAAGTGAAAAATACATTTCTGGAGTTTTGCTTTAAATTACCAAGTAGTAGCAACATATTATAGCAATGCAAAATTCTACTTCCCTGTCCTAATTTTAGCTCTGTAAATTACAGTTAAGAATAATGGGTCCACAATATTAAGTATTTGATTAATTTCTTCCTATATCTATCTTCATTTGTATTTTTAATGAAGAATATGAAAACTTAATTTGCAGGGCAAGTAGTATAAGTATTCTCTTCATTCCACACACCTAAATTATTCACTAAGATTTAAAAACAAGAAACCTGCTATCAGACAGATGTATCAGAGGACTAACACAGAGAACTCTGAAAAAACTAATAAACCCACCATCCATTTTCTGACTCACTCAGGTTTTATTTGTACTTTTGGCTCTTTTCCCTTAGTAAAGATTAATCTACTCCATGTAACAATGACTTGGCACATAGGCTTGATGAAAGGCAGAGACTTTTAGCAATGGTACCCAGTCACATGAGGTTAGACAGAACTACAGAAATTTAAAATGCAGTGCAGCTACCAATTTTACCAGGCATCATATTCCATTCTTATTCTTGCTTTAAACTGAAAATAATTTTGAATCATAGATTGTAGAAAGAATATCAAACCTCAGCAATTTTGTCAAAGAAAAATTGTTTGAGGAAGTATCATTTAGTGTTCGTTTCTCCCCATTTTGCCCAATCTTTATTTCTTAATATCAAGAAAAAAACAAGGATTTTCTCTTGAGTTTCTGTTTGTACAGTTATGCCAACAGCAGTGACATCAAGCTATTTAAATAATGAATGACATAAAATAGCAAGCAAAAATGTTTGCTGTTATCTAGTGGACAGGAAATAAACAAACATATCTGAATTAGCTGTTTTGTTTCTGTGACATTTCTGGACTGCTAAATATTAATTCAACTCCTGCATTCTCCCTTTCCTTTCCATGGAAAAGCATGATGATTATTATCACAGTGTTCCATAGAGAAATAATTAGCCTTGTATCAAGGAGATGGTCTCATTAGAGGCTGCCAGTGACCTTGTTCTAAATTTCAGAGTTACAGCATCATTAATAGTGTTGTTAGCATCATATAAGATTTTGCATTAAGTTCTGAAAACTGCATTATGAATCTAATCCATGCAAATGCTTGAACATCGTAGATTTGACCACTATTACCCAAAAGCCATATTCTCTGTTGCTTTCTATTGTGTAAAATTCTTAGTTACCAAAATGTTTTGGGTAACTGAAATGTGATGATGCCATACAAGCAACAAGTTTGTTTCTTTTTTTCCTAATAAATTTTAACCAGTATACCTGGCAGAGCTGATCCTATAAGAAAGAGCAAGGGTAGATTTAGAAGAGAATGTGAAATTTAAATGGCATGCTGATTTCTGTAAACATTCTGTCTGCTATAATGATTCAGCATTATTTGGAAAAGATACAAAGAACCTGACATTGTACCATCTGATATCGTTCTTAACAAACATGTTTGACAAAATAGGAACTGATTAAATCATTGGTGAAATTTTGAGCAGAAAGACTACTCACTGTTTTCACAAATCAGGATAGTTCAAATAAGCATCTACTATCTTCTCCAATCTCATCACACTCTTATTCTGATGATGGCCATCCCTATCAATCGATCACATCAGCTGTGCACTACTAGCTCTTGACTTCAGATTAAGACCTTACCTGATATGCCACGAGGAATTTTGCTGTTATACCAATCTGACCCAAAGATGCACAAGAACTAGGTACAGACATACCAGAGGACTTGGGGACTTAGCACCATGGAAATTACTTTATTTCTCTCTTGTAATAAAGCACGAAACAAAACTGCAGTTGTGTAGGTAATCAGCTCACATGCAGCTATGGTCCTGCTGTGAGCACAATCCTCTGATCTGTAACTAAGAGAACAATGACTAAAATCAGATGATTCCTCATTTAAATAGCATATTAACAGGAAAGAAAGACGTGGTTGAGACATGAAACATCTGTAGTAGAGAGATGCATCCAGAA